CGAGTTCTGGGTGGACGGTGCCTCTGATGCCGACGCAAAGTTCAAGTCGCTGCCTGCTTGTTGTTGGGGATAAGCAAAGAAAATATCTTCCACGCGGGTCCGACTGGGCATGGGAAAATTCGCGGATGTGTGCCAACGTTTCAGTAAATAATGAAAAACTGGTATCATAGTATCCGAAGGGTTTTCTTCGGATTTGTTTCGCACATGCACATCAGTTTTAGCAAGTTAAGAGTGGGATGCTAGTGGCATGCTCTAACACAGCGAAATTCAAAATTGCGTCCTAAGAAACAGGAGTTTACAAAGAATTCACGCTGATATGATACTAACCTTTGGTGTACACATACGCCTGAGGCCTCGGACAGAGATCACGCGATGTGATCGCGGCTATTTAATCGCCGCGATTTTCATTCATTTTCATTTTACATTCAAAACTTTCGAGCTGGAAATGTATTACAACCGAAATGAAAGCTGATAGCCATGCAATGAACTTGTGACAGTTGTCTTGTAGCGAATGAATCGCGACGATCAAATCGCGTGAACTCTGTCCGAGGCCTGAGGGAGGTCGAACTATGTCCAAAAATGAAGACCTATGTTAATGAAAGCCATGCCCAACTTTATTTCAGCTGAAACCGTTCCAGCTGGGTGCCAGCTAAGCTGGTTCCGCCGCTTTGGTTTATTTCATACTGCAGTCGCCGCTGCAGCTGCAGTCATGTTGGCACGGGCAATAGATATCGATCGATGCCATTGCTTAAAGGCAGCGTACACCCAAAACAAATGCAACAGATGTTGCAACAGCAACTGCAACTGCAATTGCAGCTTACGCTGTTATGGATTCGTTCGGAGGAGGCGGAGCGAAAGAAAAGGGGCGGTGTGAAAGAAAATTGAGGGGGGTTTTTTCCGCTCAGAAGCAACATTGGGAGACCGGACCAACGCAGTTGGTCTTCTTCTGGGCCCAGTATATACACGGTGTAGAAAAATCTAGAAAATTAGGCAACTTAGATTTTGGGTGTACGCTGCCTTTAAAGGCAGTGGATCAGCAGAATGGACCTCTGTCAGATTTTGGTAGTGTGAGGTAGTAGACCCCCGATTATAATACCGCAGCCCCAACCCCACCCTCCATTTTATGCTCGAAGTTCTGAAAAAGCGCTTCAAAACTCCACCAATGACGCCCACTCAATGGAAGTGGGCGGGGTTGGTGGAGTTCTGAATCTCCATTACAGGACGTGGAGCATAAGGAGGGTGGGATTGGGGCTACGGTGTATTCGCGGGCTCTACTACCTAACACTACTCACTGACAGAGGTCCATTTTGCCGATCCATTGCCTTTAAAAAATTGCAGTATGAAACAACTCTTTGCTCACAAAACTAAGATCCTCTCCCAATAACTGATCTTCACTTTAAAAGTTTTCATAGATACAGAACCGTTTCAGAATCTTTCGTGTAGGCTATTTTATAACTCTTAGAAAATTTCCATTGGCGGCTTTGCTCCGGTCGCAAAACGCTCCCTCAAGCAAAGCAATGCGCAAATATTTCCATCTCACCTGATGTGCGATGGCAAATTCTTTGCTTTTTTCTCTTGGTTATTGTGCTACTCATAAGTTTTCTCATCATTCGGAGAGTGGGAATTGGCAGTTGGAGGGATAGGGAGAGAGGGTGAGGGACAGGAAGTTTGTGTTGGAGCGAGTTCGTAAAACTTGTTGTAGTAAAATTATTAGGTTGTTGCATAAGTTCTGTCCGATTTGAATTTTTTGAGTTCAAGATGTCATAACTTCTTTCAAAGTCAACTTTTTTCCAAGATCTTAGTTTCCATGTGTTGAACAACTCCTTGGCTATCTGATACATATTAGAACCTGCGAAAATCTTTGTTAAAGGCAGTGTCCGGGCAAAAACTCGATCTTGAGATGTTTTGCTTACCTGGGCCTATTCGCCACGCTGAATCCTAAAAAGCACATTAGAGAGCGCGAAAACGGCGAAAACGGCTCTAAAAGGGGAGAGAAATCAGCAGGTGGGCGGGGTCCCCCCCACGGTGAATTCACGCTCAGCTTCCAGAGCAATCTTCTCGGTTCCGATTTCAAGTCATGCATTCGCACCTGGCCGGTGGAGATTTCAGGGCGCTAGAAGAATTGGGAAGATCGCTCCAGAAGCTGGGACTGCGAAATTCACAGGGGGGAAGACCCCGCCCCCTTTCGATTTCTCTCCTGCGTTAGAGCCTTTTTTGCCGTTTTTGCGCTTTCCAATGTGGATTTTCGGATTCAGCATAGTGAATAAGCCCGGGTAAGAGCAAAATCTCAAAATCGACTTTCTGCCCGGACACGCCTTTAAGGAAGAAGCAAAAACTCGAATACTTCATTACGTTTTCCTTCAAACTTGTCTTTTTTGACATGGCAATGCTCCCTTATGAGAATTGGTAGGCATCTTATCTAACAATGGATAGATAGAGAAATTTTCGTAGATTATTTTGCAATATGAAAGAGTCCATAGGGTCTGCGCTGCCGAGAGATTTTTTTGAGCGAACAAAAAATTAGTCACTTTTTGACCTCGCTTCAGCGCATGTGTGCATGCCTATTTACGAGTTATGAAAATTTTACAATTGACGTGAGCGCCGGAAAGGAATTGGTGGATGGGCTCTGTTAGCTGTTGCTTTGCCCTAGCACCTGCAACTTTGAAGTCGTCGATTACTTCTATTCGCAGAAGTTATAGCTTGTAAAATATATATACGGAAAATTAATGTTCGACGACAAATTTCACTAGCAAGACGTTTTCTTCATGGAACCGAACTTAGGCATATATTAGCCTTCTACACCCTTATTCCGCAGCCAATGAAAGAACTTGACTTGAAGGGCGCATTGTGGGGATTTCCTCGCAGGAACATATTTCTAGGGTGAGAACGTACCTCGACCACTTGGAGATTTTAGGCCTGAAATCTCCTTACACTAAAAAATTTATTGAATTTTGATGTGCTTTAGAAAGCGCAAGAAAAGCGCTTTCTAATGATACTAACAATACCGCATTATACAGTGACCGCCAAAAAGTTGCGGACAAGCCTCCCTCCCTTTTTCATCGCTCTTTTTCAAAGAGAAAACAAGGATAAAAAAGTAATAATTGCATGAGGTGATAGAGCTCTTCAAGATCTACAATCTACACTTCGAGCTTTTTGAGAAGCATGTGTTCTAAAAATTTTAAGAATCTTTTCCTAAAAAAAGTCCGAAAATGGCCGCGTCACAATGTCGTGGACAATAATTCTTCGAACGCAAAAATTTTCTTTTGAGTCCTATTTCAAAGCGGAAACACAAGTTATCCGGATAGGTAAAGCACTACTATACAGAGCTCGTCAGGAGCTACACACTGGTTATGGTTGCTTCCCCAAAAAACGCAAGCTTGAGTTTTATTTTACTTTTTTCCAAAAACCACTTCTAATTTCCTTTATCAAGCCAAATTTCTTCACACGGAAACCTGTTCAAGACATTCCAACAAAGCCGTCTGAATAAAATAAATTTTGCCATCCTCTATGCATCGGACGTGTGCCGATGAGTTTTTTTTTGCTGAAAATGGCCCTTGGCAGTGCTTGCACACGACCCCACCTGCACCTCACCACTAACTCGTATCGCTTTGCAGGCTTGTAACTCGGCCGCCAGACGCTATAAGAGTCTGTAGGTAGACTCATTCGAAAGAGCGTGAGTTCCTGGACACGATGATATGCAAATGAGTTGAGTTTGAGAAATTTCAGAGATTTGGCGGATGGGGTGAAAAAGTGCAGCCTCAAAGGTGATTGGAGTGACAGCTCTTACGAACACCAGAACAGTATTAGAGCTTCAAAATGGATCTATTACAAGAAAATTGACAGTTTTGAACTTCCAGGATGAAGTTGGTAGCGAAAGGAGCTCTCTTCATCTTTAGCTGAAAAGTGCTTAGACTACAACTGAAGCTGCCCTCTACCACCCCGTCCGCCAAATCTCTGAGATTGCTCAAACTGAAGTTATTTGCATGCTGTCATGTAGAGAAAGTCTCGTTCTTTCGAACGAGCCTAATTGCGGGCTCAAGTATTGACTGCAGGCCGAGTTACAAGCCTGCAAAGCGGTACAAGTCAGTGGTGAGGTGCAGGTGGGGTCATGTGCAAGCACTGCCAAGGGCCATTTTCAGCCAAGAAACTCATCAGCACACGTCCGATGCATAGAGGATGGCAAAGAGCATCTATTTTATCCAGACGACTTTGTTGGGATGTCTTGAACAGGTTTCCGTGTGAAGAAATTTGACTTGATAAAGGAAATTAGAAGTTATTTTTTGAGAAAAGCAAAATAAAACTCAAGCTTGCGTTTTCTGGGGAAGCAACCATAACCAGTGTTTAGTTCTTGACGACTCTGTATAGTAGTATGCTTACCCGTCCGGATAACTTGTGTTTCCGCTTCAAAATAGGACTCAAAAGAAAATTTTTGCGTTCGAAGAATTATTGTCCGCGACATTGTGACGCGGCCATTTTCGGACGTTTTTTAGGAAAAGGTTCTTAAAATTTTTAGAACACATGTTTCTCAAAAAACTTAAAGTGTAGATTGCAGATCTTGAAGAGCTCTATTCCTCATGCAATTATTACATTTTTTCGTCCTTGTTTTCTCTTTGAAAAAGAGCGATGATAAAGGGAGGGAGGCTTGTCCGCAACTTTTTGGCGGTCACTGTATATGAAATTCTCTTAGAACAGCTGCTTCAAACGTGAGGCAAAAAAAATCGGACAGAACTTATGCAACAACCTAATATAGGGGACTTCGTTCCAAAAACTCATTGTTTCCAGCTCGTGCCGAGCCCTGTTTGCGCTCAAGTCATTGGCAACCATCAAATATAATTAGAGAGTTAGGCCTTTTCAGCTGGGTCTGCACCCAACTTTACAGGGTGATGAAGATGACTCAGCAGTCATGGACTCAGTTTTACACACTATATGCGCCAACTACCCATTTATAGTGCTCATTTTCTTCAACCAAAGTTACAACTTAGTACTTAGTGTAAACGACACGGCACAGTGAAAATGCAACTTGGAAGTAGGCACAGTCGTTGGTTCAAATGTGGTTTAGTCAAAGTTTATATGCAAAATTCTATACAACATAAACAACATTACCACATATAGGGCAATAGCGCCATGCCTGCTCAACAATACCTAATGATAATTAAATTGAGCACCAAATCATATCAAATGCACATACTCATAGTCCTATATCCGTTCATTGGCATAGTGAATGAGAACATAGCGTCAAGTAATGAGAGATTGCGAAAAAACCTTTCAGGAGGACAAAGTAGTAACACAGTTTACGGTGTTTTGTGTGGTCGCTTTTGAGTAAGGAAATGGGTAGGCGGAACGAACATTTTGCTACACTCAGTCACTGAGGGCAATCTCCTAGTGGAGCGCCCATGATGTAGTTCTACATCTTTTGTGCTATTCCTTCGGTGTCCGTAGCGCAAAGCTCGACGTAGCCTAGGTTGGAAGGCAAACATCACACACGGGTTGGTCAGCGAATTCAAGGTGGAGATGATCATGGTGACGTAGTATCTCGAGTGTGGCCCTTTCATAACGGCTGGTATTATGTAGAAACTGGAGCTGCTGGCAATCTGGATTAGACATATCAAGGAGCACTGCAACACCTGTAACAACACAATATAGGCAAAATTATGCAGATGCATAAATAGTATTTATCATAAATCTTCTTCAACATGCGCTATAACAAGCTTCCTAAATATTGAGTAAATCTCTCACAAACATGATTCACTGAATCTTTAAGGCCTTATCATTTAAAACTGATTTTACTGCAAAAGCGTGTTAAGTAAATTCCTCACGACATCCCAGAACACTACAAATATTTCTTATCACCCAGGTGACCAACAACGAACACTGCCGGCATGGCCGGGAGAGGATGGCAGCCATTGGGAGCGCCTGTGTTATCATTGTAACAAACGGAAATTTTCGTCGAATGAACAATATGGGATACTTGATTTTTGAGATTTTTCGGACGAATGAATATCGAACAATTGATTTTTAGAAATTTTTCGAATGAACAATTATTATTCAATTTTCCGAATTTTATATTTGTCAGGTATAAGGTCTGCAGGTCCTTTACCTGATGTGTAGCGGGTTTACATAAGTCTTACTATAATATTTATTATAAATAGTTATATACAAAAGGGGGAAGGGAAAGGGGAACCGGCTAGTGCTGGCGGCCGGAGGTCACTGCCAGAGGTTGGCTGTCTTCGGCCAACCTCCTTCTCGAGCAGCTGTTGTAGCTAGCTGCGTCCCGACATCTCCATTCCTTCGAGAAGCTCGTCCTCGAGCTTGTGGCATGGCTGAGGTTTCGAGACGTTGTAGTGGTTGGCGTTGATGTGGTGGATGTTCTTCCGAGTGACGTGCGTTGAAGTTTGCACGTAATTTACGGCGAGAACATAAAAATGAAGTGGTGATATATCGAGATATGGCAGAAGTTCTTCCGAGTAACGTGTGTTGGAATTTACACGTGATTTACGGCGAGAACGTACAGTTGGCGTGATGATATGTTAAAATACATACAGATGTAAGGATATGGATCCGGTGGACTGCGAGCAGACACGACCTTCACCTAGAATATGTCAGGTATAAGGTCTGCAGGTCCTTTACCTGATGTGTAGCGGGTTTACATAAGTCTTACTATAATATTTATTATAAATAGTTATATACAAAAGGGGGAAGGGAAAGGGGAACCGGCTAGTGCTGGCGGCCGGAGGTCACTGCCAGAGGTTGGCTGTCTTCGGCCAACCTCCTTCTCGAGCAGCTGTTGTAGCTAGCTGCGTCCCGACATATTATTCGAATTCGAATAATCGAATATGAGCACATTTCAAAATTCTTATTCTCGAACATTCGAGTAATCGAACTTGATCGAATATTCGACTATTCGAATAAACGAATAATTAGATATCATCTAGTCTTCGAATGCAATTCGATTATTCACGTGCAACATTCGAATATTCAAACGCAATAGTCGAATGTTCGAATATTCGAATAAGCTATTTTGGCAATCATCGAATAGACGATTTGAATAAATACCTTTTTCATTTACTCGACTATTCGAGTAACGAATAATTGGACGTTCTCTCTTCGACTAGAAAGAAAGAAAAATTCGACTATTCGAATATTCGAGTAGTCGAATCTTTCGGATAAGTTATTCATACGAATATTCGGTTCTAACTATAGCCTGTATTACCCCACACTTTTCAAGCGTTGGGCCAAAGAGTGCGCAAAATGCATTTCTTTGACAAAAACACTTTGTTATGCAATACAGACCACTCCAATTGGCCGCTGTTTCTTGTCTAAAAAGTATCGGTTCTTTACTATTGTAATGATTGAATAATGTCATACCATACAGCGCTCAGTAAGTCATGAACAAGCTGCGTAAGTCTCTCGCTGTTCGCAAAATTTTTCTCGAAAAAAATCGTTCATCATTTGCTAGGATATTGTTAATTGCGACAAAATGTGCGTAACATTCGAAAAATATATTTCTGTCTTGCTGTGCACTTTTTTGTGTTTTTATCTTTCAAGAAAGCTGAGTTTTCTTAATTTTTGACATAAAAATTGATGCTCAGTGAAGACGAATTCAGATTTTGGCATATCACTTCTCGCTGCTTGTGCAGATGTAAAAAAGGTTCTATATGTACCAAATTTGTTAGCGATAGGAATTAGCTGTGTACGTAAGTATGTTGCAGATAAGTACGGTTTTCTATAAGGCACGCTGTAACCAATGTCTTGTTTTTTATTGTGTAAACGTTTTCTTTCCCGATAAAGCGTAGAGAAATACAATGCCTTTGATGGCAGTGTCTCACCAAAATTGAGGTTTCGCGGGTCTCCACATAATCTACTAGAAGGCCCCCCAAATAGGCCATTGCATTAAGTTTGACTCGATTTGGGCCCCTCTGCGCCGAGAAAAATGGGCTCAAAGTGGTACGCGGAGAGCGATTTGGTACGCGCGGGCAATTTCTCCGGTCTCCCCCTTTATGCGTTTTAACATGTCCATGTCCCTCCACCTTGCGTCCGCCTCCTAGTTGCTGCCACTGTGGCGGAGGTTAGAGTAAGAAGGCACAACTCGTCCACGTTGCTTCCGCACGCCTCCAAAAAACGGGTTTTGAAAGATTCGTGCGGTTTTAACCCCCCTACCCCTACAGTGTTAGACAGGTCCGATAGGCTGGTAATATGCGAAAATCTGCAGCGAATTTTGGTGAGACACTGCCTTTAACGGGGCCATCGCCGCGTAATGCAGTCACACTACGCGCGAGCGCTACCGTACGGAAGTATGCAGGTCCATGGTGCGCACGACATCGCGGGCCGTGCTTTTATCATTGTACCTCAGAAATTTCTGTTTTTGTGGCAGCAGATTGTCATTGCTTCTTTGCTCATATGCGATATACCTAATTTGATACCGGATACGACTTTTTTCCGCAGCAAAGGAAGCAGGTATCAAATCTTCAAGCGTTTTCTCTCAAGACATCTTTCATTTCACCCAGGCCTTCTTTGAATGGCTGATTTCGGATGTCTTGTCATTAATATATGGACTCGTGTTTCAACGGACATAGTCATATATCGTTTAGGTTTGAGTGAACAACGTCAACGCGCTGTTCACTCGAACTGTTCACTCAACCTATACGATATACTATTACACATTACGATATCCACCTTAAGTCAGGAGGAACAGCACCAGTCGTTCTCAGAATTCACAAATGAAATGATTTAGATTACGTTTGATTTGGAAAGACCTCAAACCTTCAATTTGCCTTCCATTCGCGCGGTGATACTTTGAGAGATCTCAGGAAGTATTGAAGGAGTATTAGAGAGGAAAAGCTCAGAAATTGGGAAGCGGAACAGAGAATAAACAGAGAAGCAGAAAAACTAGCTAAAACAAGGATTACGCGGCATGGTCCCTGCATGCTGCAGCATACGGTAGGTGTGTGACTGCACTACGCGGCGCTGGCCCCGTTAGACTCATTGTATATAAAGGTATCAAAGTCAATAAGTTATCAATTGTAACCTTCACAGAGAACCGATCTTGAAAGCGGAAAATAGCACGGCCGAAAAATGTGCTGCGTAGTTACGAGCAACAGAAAACAATATGTTTTGCAACTTTATCAAAAATTTGTAGCATGCTAAGTTGCTGCTTTCATGGCCTTTCGTATCTTTATCTTAGCTATCTCGCTTACTTATCGAAAACATTTTATGTACAAAAGCGCAAAGTGCAGCCGTTCTAAATTTTATCTGCAAAAAGGTTCCACTTTGAATGGCTGTATAAATACTTAATAAATGTTCGAATACGAAGATAATCGCCGAGGGCAGGCGGGCGTGCGAATTTTGAGCAAACGGGCACCGGAAAAATAGTTCGCTGATTTGCGGTCCGCTTGCAGAAATTTGGAATGATTTTGGCCAATTTTCAAACGATTTCGGAGAACTATCGCGGGTTTTCTATGGATTGGCATACTTTTGAGATATCCTTTATTTTCAAAATCGAAAGTTTGACCTACCAAGTACACCTTCTTCTTTTCGATACTCGAAAATCCAATTGATCGGAGCTGTGATCGCATGTACATTATTTTACAATAAATTGCTACATATAGTGCTAGAGTAATCCCTGGCAATGAAAAGTTAAGATAGTACATGATGGGGTCGTAAAGTCCACAGACACTGCAAAGAACCTTGTGAATTTAATTTGGTTAGTTTTGAGGGACTTTACCTGCACTCATAGGTATAAGTAAGTGTAAATGGATTCGTTCTAGCACAGCATCCAATAGCTGTCATGTGTACAGTGAGAATGATTGAAAGAGTCCATGGGAGTGCAGGAACACAAGACAAGAGTTTATTTGACTTGGGTTTAGTGTAAAGCTGAAGAAATTGAAGAATTATGAAAAATGTAAAAAAGAAAATTCTTTCACTCACTCGATTAAAAAAGAATACTACGAAACGATCCAAGGCAATCAAAGCTGTTGTAAACGTTAGCGCCAGATATCCAAACACATCGAATATAGTTAGAATTGTATTGAGCGGGTCATCAATTTGTAGACCAAACAATGCTGTCGGAATTAGTATGACGGTAATTGATGTTAAATAAGACAATGCAGAAGTGACGAGGCTGACGACATGCCAACGAAAAATTCCCTCGAAAATCGCGCTGCGGCAGACCAAGTAGCCGAGAGTTAAGTTTAGCACGAATGATGTAGCGGCTACGATGAGAAGAGCAATACCAACGAAGAAACGCTCGACAGCTGCGAATTGATGTGGATTGCTGTCCCATAAGCACTGTATGACGGAACGGTTCATGTATTCCTGCAAAAGTTCGTTACGCTGCTGCAGGAAGGAGACGATTTAGCATTCGAGCTGACATGCGCAATTCAAGTGCAAAAGCAGGGCAGGGTACTGAAATTCTGAAGATCTATGGGAATGAATTGCAGCATTCACACATGCTAAAAAAGCTCTAGAAGTGCAATCAGCGGACAGCCTATACATGGGGAAGTCAGAGTTACAGTGAGAACGAAGCGACAAATTAGGTAATATAATCATATACAGGGTGTCCCAAAAAAATGTATCGAACGTTTGATCGTTAATATCTCTCTTCCCAAGAAGTCTTTTGCCTTGCTTTAGGTACCGTTTTGTAGAGCAGGCTTCAACTTAGATTTCTAATATAGAACGAATCACCCACCTCTCTTTATTACTGTAGGATTACGGTAGAAACTTTAAACATATGGTGTCAATGTGGAAAAAGCTGCCGTTTCAAAATTTTTCAAAAAAATGTGAAAACTTGTGAAGTAGGGTCTTTATGGACGCTGAGTTCAATACTCAACTATTCACAAGATTACGAAGCTTTTTAAAGGGTGTAACCGCACTTTTTAGGAACATTGAAAAAATGGCCGCTACCTCTTACCTGGCATAACTCTTCAATGAAGCATCACAATAAATTGGGAACTTTACAGTTATAATCAGCAACTCTAATTAGCCTTGTGTAAAAGTTTTCAGGCTGTTTTCCTCTCTTTCTGGGGCAAAATACGGCCTTTCATTGCTCAAAACCCTCTTTGAAGTTTCTACCGTAATCCTACAGTAATGAAGAAAGATGGGTGATTCGTTCTGTAATGGAAATCTAAGTTGAAGCCAGCTCTACAAAACGGTACCTGAAGCAAGGCAAAAGACTTCTTGGGAAGAGAGATATTAACGATCAAACGTTCGATACATTTTTTGGGACACCCTGTATATAAATAATAAAACTCAATGTCTGCAAGGCTCCAGTTCGTCTGTCTGTGCTTTATAGAAATACCCGCCGTTGAACCGATTGAGCTGAAACTTTGCACGCTCATGCATTCGCCCCCCACCCCCCCCCCCTTCTACAGATTATTACTTTTTTGCGGCGATTTGCGGGGTACATTTATTGATTCATTGATTTGTGTACTTAAATCAGGGAAATAAAAGTTTGACCTGCTCTGATCGACCACTTTTCAGTAGACTTACAAGCTGAGGCGGTAAAGCTTATTTTAATCTTAAGGTCGGCAGGATGCGTCACTTCGTCTCAATGCGCTTTTCGCACATGGTAGAAGAAGTTTGAAAGTGTAAGTAAAACATTTTGGCCAAACTGAATTAGAGTCTTGGGTGAGACCGAGAGCACCAGCTAGTTATTGATAAATGACCGTATCCTAAACTTCGAGCTATGCAGCCCCCTCCTACATTAAAGTACAACCTGCAATGCTTTTAGAATACAAAAATTTTGTTGCTATACGCGTAAGGGCACAACAAATTTACGGCTGTGTTCAAGTTACCTTGAAATGTACCCATAAAAGCTTCAATTAATTTCATTTTCCTTATATCCGCCAATTCATTGTTGTTGTGCACATCTTTTGGCATTTATTGCTTTTTGTATTGTTAACATAGGTTTACCGAGACAAATGAACAAACAATGATTATATTGTAGTCCTGCCTCTACTTGTACCTATACTTGAGTAGTCCAGGGCACTTATAGAATAAAGATTTTATTAGTAGGTTGGAACGAATAAGAACTGAGACTGACGAGACAAGACGACTTACTAGCTAGCAGGGTCGCCTTACATAGCGCTCAGTTCACTCGCGTCAAACAATATCAACAGATTCTAGTGGCGTGTTCATCAACGAACCCAATGGGTTCCGGAACCCATTGGGTTCCGTGGGTTCGCGAACCCACTGGGCGAGATCGGTGTAAGTGCCCCGCTGGGTTCGCCCCAACCCATGACGTCACCAATGTGCCTCCCTCTGTGTACTATTTTTCTGATCTCTCGACGTACACGGATCGCACTAGAAAGTGGCTTGGCGGCTGGAAGTTTGGGCTTTGTTAACCTAATTGAGGCCGCCCGCTCCCGCGACGTAGTCTGCATATCTGTCGTGCGGGTGCTCTCTGATTATTATCTTGATTAGCCTGTTGCGGAGCCTCACCTTCCAGCCGCCAAGCCAGTTGAATGGGTAGTCATTCTTTTCCTTTCCGATGAATTTTGCTGAAACAAGCAAAAGATTTTTGTAAAGAAGCTAAGATAAGCAAGAGAATTATTTCAGTGTGGGAGGATAACTTTCGGATGCCAAAACGTCTCGAGCACCATTTGAGAACGAGAAAACCATTAGCAGCGACAACTGAAGACATAGCGCAGACAAGAGAAAGATGCGGCTCTTCGTTTATTTCTTCACGGATGGGTAACTTTTATACGGTGAGCAGTCCGTGATGCAAGGTGCCAATACTTGCGTGGAGGTGCAAAGCACCACATTTCATGTCCAAGCTAGAGTTGTAGGGAAAGGAATGAAGGGCAGAGGGTCTTTTCAAACAGTTGTTTCACGTCATCTTAACTTCTTGGCAATGATGCAACGAAAACTAGCACCATTTTAATTACAGGCTTACTGGTTTGATCCAAAAACTATAACGTTTAGAACAATTCCAGCTGTATCCCAAATCTGTATGGTTTGTGAAGCTAAAATGTGTCTTTCCTTGCAATATAATATGCTCTGTCTTCTTCTCCATCTAATAAACTTGTTCAAATGTTCTGTAATGTTTTGAAAATCACCTCTTTGTTTGATAGTAGATAAAAGCAATGCTTTGCTTGCCCTCAATTTCTACATTCTGTACAAACACTTATGATTCAAGAGTAAGAATAAAATTCTGTTACATAGTGAACATATAGAATCTATCGGATTTATACAAGTTATGAAAAAATTATGTGAACAGCAAATTCGCAGCCCTCAGAGTGATACTAACCATCCTGATTTGACAAAAAAGCTGGGCACTCATCATTGTGATTTAGCAGAGTGTTTCACACTTTTTTCTTGAACTCTTTGTACACGATGGCGAGCCATATCATTACATGTGCCCTGTTAACGAGTCATTTTCCCACTTCTTAGTAAAGAAAATCTTCGAAAGACAAGTTCGCCACGTGTTTCAACTACAGAATTTTTTTCACGAACCTTCCACTTTGTTACTCCTAATCCTTAACCAGTTAACATACAGTGTTTGGTGTCCTACACTGTGAACGAGTCGTCTTGATGCTTGGTGTTTTCAAGAGGTAGATATGTGCACTTTAACTTGTATTAACGACCTGCTTTTTCCCGCGAAAGACTTCAGCTTAATATCTGTCATCCTCGTGCCAGGCGCTGGCCACCATCATCGACAAATCATGATTATGGTTGTCAGATTAAGCTGGCTGATTTTTAAAAAATCTGTACACATTCATAAAAGTGAAAAAATGATATGTTCAAAGTTTGTAATTTCTAAGAAAATCGCTGCTACGCTGTATCTGGCGTAACCCTTGAAGTGAAAACTACGTCTGAGTGCATTTATAAGACTGGCACAAACTCAGAAAGTTTACATTACAATAGTACATTGATGAAGGGCGGGCAATATCCATTTTGCACTATAAAACCTAAGTTGAACCTGGCTTCACAACGGGCTACCTGAACCGAAGCTTGCGAGACGATATAAAAAAAAGAACGAACAATGTGGCATTCTTTGTGCCACTCTAAAGTTGGACCTTATACATGCATTAGCCTAAAATTCTGAAAACTTTGCGTAAAATGATTTCCCACATGCAGGTGATATAGGTAGCACATGGAGTATGCGAATTCATTAAAGACCAAAGAAGTGCCTAGATTCAAAGACTTGAGTAAAACATGTCACAGTCTGATCTTCATGAAAATTTGAATTGAGTGACATGGGCAAGACGAGAAGATAATAAACTGCACATGAATATGTCTCTGTGAAATTATGTGCTAGCTTCCGACTAAATATAAAAAAGTGTATTGGCAGATGTAAGCGTATGGCTGTTGCGATTAATTAGACTATTAGACTTTGCACACTTTCATTCCATATAGATTGGATTCGGTAAGCCTCATCACTATGCCTACTGTGAGGAGCCATGTGACTAGAAAAATTCGCAAAATAGGCATCTTTTCTCAATATCCATGCATAATTTCTGAGGTGACGCACACGGCTTATGCAGAAAGCAATGTCGTAGCATTCCGCAGTTCCAAAAACAGAAATCATTTCTTCAAAGGTCACATTTAGAAACAAATCAGGCGATGACATTCCACTAAGGTAAGTTAGAAAAACTGTCATGCGACACCTCTCAGATGAAATAACATTTGTTGCAAGAGATGCTCGTTTGCAGAACTGTTCTATTCCCCGCAAATTTCTATAGCAACTATTTAATTAAGAAATGCAAAAGAACATGGAGATGAAAAGACATGAATGCACGTCTTCAAAGAATTGAACTGTGCGCTTGTTCCAAGGATATGAGAAGTCTAATTTGTTGTACAAATAAATGGTTGAGCGAGTTGATGCGAACCGAACGATACATTGCAAACTTTAGACCAGAAATGTGCGAGATTGTAATGAATTATGTGTGGACCAATGGATGATCAGAACAGTAAAGCGACATTAAGATGGGTGGAATATGGCGCAAAACATGTCCTTCAAGTGGAAAAGAAAAAAGCCAAGCGACCTGATGAACATGGCTATCACAGCAAGAATGTAGGCAATCCCTCAATCAAAAAATCACGAGGCGGCTTTTCGGGATATTTTGTGGGTATTTGTCAGGAGTGTCTCACTTTGCGAGCCTCGCCTGCACATCCTGATCTGCTCCTTTGTCTCCTCAGGATCTCTTTCCATAACCTCGTCTGTAAATTCGCTCGTACATCTCCTACTCAGACAATCGCCGGGGGCAGGCGGGCACCGGAAAAATAGGTTGCTGATCTCTCGCACCCCGCTCGCGGATTTTTTGGAAAGCAACCAGGACTTTTCGGAAGACCGCTTGCTGAGTTCTCGATTCCTC